TTCCCTCGTGGCCTCTGCCAGCCCCTCCATCATTGACTCCGAGGCCAACCTGTACGAGAAGGCCGAGCCATCGGATGACAGCGTTGGCGGTGGCGAGTCTGCTTCTGCTGATCGTGTAGGCAAAGAAGCCGCGGAGCTCCCTAAGAAGCCGGAGAAACAATGGAAGAAAAGTAGCCGCCGCTGCGGGCTTGGCTACTGGTTCGTGCAACAGAACGATGTAGAAGCTGCCAGCCGGAGTCCATCTTCAAGGCCGATGCGACTGTTCGCACCCGTGTATGGCGGGCTTGCCTGTGCTCTCTCGATTTGTGATTACCACCGTATGTCTCATTGGCAGGGTGCTAACGATTTTGATTTGTCTAGACTTCATCGGAACGGGTGTGAACACCATGATTCAAGAAATCGTGCTCGACGGCAACTATATCCGCCTCGCGCTGCTGGTGACCACCCCCTTCTTGTTCTGTATCTCCATCGTGAGTACGCCTTCATTCTTGAGCGTTCAACAATCCCTGAATTTCCGTAATCATATCAAGTTCTTCGCCGCACAAATTGTAGGCAATCTGTCTATGATGTAAGTAGTCCGAGGTCTCAGGATCTTGCCGCTATTGAACCGCCGACAGTATTGGCCCAGTGGCGCAGTATCACGAAAACTCAAAATACTATTCTGCAATCGCGCCCGCGCCCGACGAAGAACTTGACGCCAACTTGCCACACATCACAATCGAGCTTCCTGTCTACAAAGAAAGCTTGAAGGAAACGATGTGAGTTACGCCCGGAAGCATCACCAGCATGTTCCTCACAGCTATCTCAGCGCGCCGTCCGTGTATTCCATCAAGAAGGCCATGCAGACGTACGCCCGTCAGGGCGGCACCAGTGCTATCTTCGTCCACGACGACGGGCTGCAGATTATCTCGGAGGAAGAGCGCAAGGAGCGTATTGATTTCTACGCCGACAACAACATCGGTTGGGTTGCCCGCCCGAAGCATGAGAGCGCGCCCGATGGCTTCAAGCGTGCTGGCCGTTTCAAGAAGGCATCCAACATGAATTACGGCCTTGCACTCTCGTTGAAGCTAGAGAAACATCTACTGGCTTTGGAGGCGGAGGCAGTTCAACATGATGAGATTCCGGATGAATCTCAAGTGTCTCTCGAGGACAAAGCGATGAACTTGGCTATCGAGGAGATCTTCGAGGAATCCGGACGTCGTTGGAAACCTTGGGCGTGCAATGGCAAATCGATTCGTCTGGGCGAGATCATCCTCATCGTTGACGCCGACACTCTCGTCCCCGAAGACTGCTTCCGCGACGCTGCTCGTGAACTGGCGCAGTGTCCCGAAGTTGCTATCATCCAGCATGAATCAGATGTCATGCAAGTCGCCCACCATTACTTCGAAAACGGCATCGCTCACTTCACACGTCGCATCAACAAGGCCATTTCCCTCGGCTGCGCCAACGGCGAAGTCGCCCCTTTTGTGGGTCACAACGCCTTCCTCCGCTGGTCTGCCCTTCAGGATGCTGCTTTCATCGACGTTGACGATGGTGTTAAGAAGATCTGGTCGGAGTCGAACGTGTCGGAAGACTTCGATATGGCCCTCCGTCTTCAGTTGCGCGGCTACATCATCCGTTGGGCAACGTACTCCAAAGGCGGCTTCAAGGAGGGTGTCTCACTTACTTGCGACGATGAGCTCAACAGATGGCAAAAATACGCATATGGTAAGGGTTTCTGATTATCACTGACTTGGAAACCTTGCTAAGCTTTGCGTCCAGGATGTAACGAGCTGATTTTCAACCCCCTCATTACTTGGTGGCGACTTGGTCCAATCAACAAGCAGCTTCGCACATTCGTCTGGTCCGCAGCTCCTGTACATTACAAGATTAGCATGATGTCCTGTGAGTACAGTGTTCTCCGCCGCTGAATGCATGACTGACGACCGCTCAGATATGTTCTCGTACTGTATGTTTCACTCTCTTCACCGCACTGTTCCCGCCCACTAAGCGCTGCTATTTTTCAGATGGCCTTGCAGCGGCCGCTGTGCTGTCCATCATGAACTATTTGCTGCTTGGCTGGGCTTTCGAAGTCGACGGCTTTTACGAGAAGAGTTTCGAGATTTGGTTAGCATGTACAGTGGTCTTCCCAGGTGCCGGTAATTTGGGCTTCACGCTGCTGGAGTACCGCCTCGGACACAGGAACCTCCTGGAGTCGCTGATTGAAAATCTCAGCTGGGTGCCCTTCTTGTGAGTGTCTTATCTGCGCCCATCAAAGGTTAGCTGACCGTTGGACTCGTAGCTTCTTCTTTTTCGGCGGTCTCAGCATCCACATATCCCAGGCTCTTCTGGCGCACGTCTTCTCGTACAACATCACCTGGGGCGCAACCAAGAAAGAGGTAGAGAAATCAAATTTCTGGCTCGAAGTGCCCAAGATTTTGCGGAGATTCTGGCTTGCGTTCGCTATCTGTATCGTCATCTTCGCCGGTATGGTCATCCTTTCGACTTCGCTGGTGCCGTTGGGCTGGCGCATCGGTGGTTCCCAGTGGGCCGTCATTGTTCCCATTGCGTGAGTTCAGCATTTTTTGGGGCTGGAAACGACTAAACTGACGTTGTTGTGCACTTGCTATAGCATAACGATGGGATGCCACGTCTTGTACCCCGTAAGTCGCCTGTATCTATATAGCACCTACGGTCTAACGTCTTATTTTCCACTCTAGATCGTCTTGAACCCTTGGTTAATGATCTTCTCGTACTGAGTGCATTATTATAATGGACTTTTCACGACCTCTATGGACACCCCGTTTATCTAGAGATTGCATTACCAGATACCCAAGTTTTGTGCCTCAGTATATCGTATATCGGCGGCTGTACCTTCCCCTCCCTCGCTTTCTGTTTTGAACTGGACATACCTAGATATCGTAGACAAGTTTCTGTTTTCATTCCGGGTCTTGGATAGACAGGGTGTATCGCACGCGCCTTGGATCATGCTGAATGAGTAGGCCTTTCGTGCGTACAGCGCGTGGGGCATAGATCCAGAGTTCGCACCATGAAAGTCCATAGATTCAACGTCGGACTAAAGTGGCGTGTACTTTGTCGAAGGTCCATGCATACATAATTGATACATATATGGTTACAGATGCTTTGGTTAGGATGTACAGCGCACACTGGATCAAAATTGAGCTACAAGGATCAGCATTAGACGAGTGTGGGGACCCACCAAAGTACTATGAGGACCGGGTATTGCTCATCGGAGGCTTAGGTCTCGGCTCTGCATCAACTCTCTCAGATAGCAGTGGTTCATGTTCCCCAGAATCATCGTGGTCGAGATGACTTTCTTGCCTAGATCCCCAGGTGCAGCATCGTTCTGCGCAGTAATGTCCTACGGGGGACATCAGCTTAGCGTGAAGAGAAGAGAGTTCCTGGACGCACGTAAGCTCATGAAGTCATAACACACCCCCGCCACTATGTCCATACAGCAGATCACGCTCACGGAAATGCATGCACCAAGCGGATCGTCGCCAGACATTGCAGGGTATCAGAATTAGAGATGTATGTGGTGTGAGCTAGAATGCTGTGTTCTATGTGGTGTTCGAGCGCATGAGGCTATCATCGGGCGAAGTCAGAACAAGCCATCCGAGTGACTATTTGCAGCACGCACCTATTATGATGAGAAGAGCCCGACGCGTACCGTGCTCGTTGTCGCAAACAGTGCGCAAGTGGCCTCGAAGTGGCCGGCAAAGTGCAGCGAGGCGGGAAGACCGTGCGGAGATAATCGGCTTTCCATAAACACGTGAGCCCGGTCGTTCCGAAACTCCTGCACGCTCATTCGCGGTCGGCCTTCTCTGCAGCTTCACCACCCTTTCCCCTCGTCGTCGTCGTTCTCAACGGCGAGCTCAATCACCACCATGTCCTCCGCCATCGTTGCACGGTCGGCTTTCAACAACCGTCTCGCCACCACTTTTGCCCGTCGCTCCCTCCGCCCTCTTTCTCAGCAAGGTGCGTCCAAGCTGGTTCATCCTGCTTACCTCGTCTGTCTGTAACGCGCCGCTGGTCCATTGAGTACTGATGCACCGTTCGATATTGTAGTGATCGCAAGATACGCATCGTCTGAGACCGCTTATGTCCCTGGTGGTCGTACGTTCATCCTCTGGTCTCGTGCAGAGATCTACTCGCTTACATCCTTTTCTTTGCCGCACTAGCCATCTACAGGGGGACGGTCAACGACCCCACCACATTCCCGCCACCTAATAGGAGCCACGGCTCTCACCACTGGGCTTTCGAACGTCTGCTTTGCGCGGCTCTCGTGCCCTTGACCGGAGCTGCCTTCGTCGTCAGCGGATCTGCGTACCCGGTGTTGGACGGGTTGTTGGGAGTTAGCTTGGTGATGCACAGTCACATCGGGGTGCGTTCGAGTTTTTCTCGCAACCGGTTCTAGTTCTGACTATGATTCATCGTGTGTAGTTCGACGGTCTCCTTGTAGACTATGTTCACCCTCGCAAGTTCCCTACCATTGGGCCGATCAGCACCTGGGCACTTCGCGCCACGACCGTTGCTGTCCTCGTCGGTGTTTACCAGTTCAACACAAATGACGTCGGTGCGTATTCATGATCCACGAGCCGCTCCTTCGTACTGAGAATGCAGCAGGTTTGACGGAATTCATCGCGAAGGTATGGGCTGCATAGACACCAGTATCGCGTTCGCCTGTGTCGTGTTCATCGTCAATTTGGAGCGATTGCTACGAGATTCTCAATCATCCACGTGCAACACCACTAGAGGTTTTCCGACAATACTGTGGCACATCCCTCGCTCGGTATGTGAGTAGTCAGTCCAACAAGCGGTAGATGTTACGAAGGATCAAAAATTCAGTCTTGAGCGTCCGTCGGAGCTGGCTCTCTTCGGTGTCGTCGAGGACGCAAGTGCATAAAGTGGAGAGTGGTTGTATGCTATGGTCATGAGGTGTGAGATATCTCACTGTTTGCATGTTGGGTACAAAAAAGACTCTGATCATCCAGTGGCACCTCGGATACGGGGAATCGAACCCCGAGCTGCCGCGATGCAGAATACTCTGAGAGGCGGCAATGTTAGCCATTACACCATATCCGATATCTTCGAGACCGGTTGAGATACTGTCGAGCTGGTGCCAAGAGCTTCACACTGCTATCTATCATGTTGCACCCTCTTCAGATTCGCTTCAGATTGAAACAAAAGCAAACGAGCCAATCCATAGAGCTATATGCCGTAGCCATCGTCCTCAATCATTGCACGAAAAGGTATATAGTATGTGTTCGTATGAATGCGCGTGGATAGATACTGAACTTATGACACGAAATCGAGTTATGAAAGAATGAGATAGGAAATGAGAAGAGTCATCGTACAACAAGTTTACCGAAACAATAGGGTCCAATAAAGAGCAAACGTTCCAACAAGCCACGCGCGGGAAGCTCGTCCGAGACTTCCTGACTTCCATCTTTTGAGGATATTATTGTCAAGTCAAAGATTGGCTTGCCGCATTGCAACTGTACGCAGAAATGAGGTCACGAAGGACTACTGTACACGAACAAAGTGCACGTACGTAGTATCAAGAAGACTTCCATGACGTCAAGCTAGAATGGCAGCAGGCTTCCAGCGCCGCGCAGTGCCATTTGTGAGCCGAAACGTAGTGTTTGTACTCCTCCAGGGAAGTAGGCCAGGACATATGATATGAGTGCAATAACCTAGAGTAACCAAGTAGTGAATTGAGCGCGAAAAGCTACTTCATAGAGAACGGACGCACTTGGACGATGGCGCAGACAAGTGATCCAATGTATGAATGCGCCTATTGTGGGGCACGGTAGTTCGGAACAAGGAGAGGGAAAAGGCATTGTAAACATGAGACCTGATTTCAAACTGATAGAACATTCAGACTCACCCCGAGAGAGAAATACAGTGTTAGCCCCAAGCTAGCGAGATACGTCAAGGAGAAAGGCAGTCGTTCGGCGGAAACGAGATGTTTGACGTGGTTTAACGGTCCTATTAGCACCGAGAACCTGGTAGCACGAGCGAAGCCCATGAATACACGCAACAACATAGCAATATGGACACTCACCCGAACATCACCAGCAGACTTCCCAAACTGCGGAGCAGGTCAACATCACTGTCTGAAACAGCTTCGTATGTACGCACCTGAAAGCCAACGCGAACTTCGCAGGACGAAGGGCCAGTAATGGTAGTGTTAGGAAGGCTACGAAGAAGCATACAGCCGCTCCAAGTAGACAGCCTCCAAACCCGAGTAGTCTGGATACGATACTAGCTCAGCACTACACGTATGTAACCATGAATAACGGGATACGCACCTTTCCCACCGTGACAACGCGAAGTAAGCCTCATCCTCATTCGACCTCTCTGTACTTCGCAGGGGAATGTATCCTCCACCTATGGCATTGTAAAATCTCGAGAAGGGATTGCTGGAAGACTGTTCTGGTTGTGAGTCGTCGTTGTTGCCCTGGGCCCATCGGAATTGCGAGAGATTCGCTCTAAAGCTTTGTTCTGCGGTTGGTTGTGGCGCCATAGATTAGCAAAGAGAGTCGGAGTCAAACGAAGGGTTTGTAAGACGAAAAGATGTTCGTGAAGGATGATGGAGTTTCGATGAAGTGCAATGGGTGCTCCGGCACAGTCGGTCGCAAGACGGTCGCCTACGCACAGCTCGTCCTGATCGGGAAGCGCACCGACGCTGAGTCAGCACCGCCCGTTCGGGAGTTCGTAGATTGACCGTAACATCCTCCCCGTTGCACCTTTCTCTTCCCCGAATCGCGACAACTACGGTAAGACCGGAAAAGCCCACAAGTACACAGCCAAGCGAAAAGGTGATGCATTTGTTGGTGGCGTACCGTGGCCGCCGACATCATTCAGCATGAATCTGCTGTTCCAAGACAGGTCAAAAAACACAATTCTGTCGTAAAATTCGATACGGATGCCACACGTTGAATCACACAATGCCCAAGAGGAAGTTCAGACAGCCTTTGCAATGACCAACTGACCAAGGACGGACCAAAGTCTCGAGGCGATTATTGAACCTCTCTTATCGGACTATCGTCGGCTATACGAGCTCAAATATAGGCGAACGTTCTCGGCCCCGTCAGGTGTGGCACGTTTCGGGTCACCCTCCAGTGGCCACAGTCTCTGTCATCAAAAGAAATTCGCAAGTTGTACCTCGACGCCCTGCCGCATCTTCCGTTCGTAGCCTGCGCGCTGCTTCGCTTTGCACGGCTGTGGATAGTGTTGCTCGGATCGATAGCCAGGTTCCGAGTCACATATCTTTTACGTTCTAGCGACTGCTTGGACAATCTGTAAGCAGAGAAACTTTTTGTTCATGGTTCGGAACCTGTTTTCAAATCTCAGTGGCATGGTATAAAATAGCCATGGGCCCCTTACTCTTCCCCAGAAGCTACAGACGGTCTCGTTCGCCTTACCTTGAGGAATTCTTGGTCTCCTCCTCGTGAGGTGTTCTATCACCGCTCTGCTTTTCCCCAGTCAGCTCCTCATGATTCCTCCCCCATCTTCCTCAAACAAAATAAACGCGGCGCTCTCGCCCGCCCCAACCCTTGTCGACGGACGCCCCGCTCAAAAGTACTCGTTCTTTCGACGATATGTTCTCCTACTCGTGTTCTGCTTGGCGCAATTCTTGGATGCAGCAAACAACTCAGCACTGTTCTCCGCTATTCCTGCACTCGTTGAAGCGTTTGACATCACCGAGAGCGAGACAACATGGATTATTAGCGCGTTCCAATTGACTTTCGCCTCCTTCCTGCTCATTGTGAGTACCTTCATCCCCTCCCGCGGTGGTCAGTCTGACTGGCGTTGATCTAGTCGGGAAAAATCAGCGACATCTATAACCCCAGTGAGTTCTACTTATTGAAGAAGGCACACACACACTCACCACTTCATCGACCCCTATAGAATACGCATTCATCGGTGGTTTCGCAGTGCTTGGGATATTCTCGTTGGGTGCCGGGTTCGCCAATAACAAGATAGCCCTCATCATTTTGCGTGCACTGAGCGGGGTGGCAGCCTCCATGACCATCCCATCCGCCCTCACTTTGCTCGTCAGCGTGTTCCCCGAGCCAACTGAGCAGGATCGGGCAATTGGCGTGTTTGGTGGCTGCGGTGCGATTGGAAATAGTGCGTGTCATGTAATGCTTTGCGTTCCGCGACTCATTCTGACAGATTTCTTTAGTTTCCGGTCTGATCATTGGCGCAATTTTCGTTCAGTTCGCGAATTGGCGTTGGGTGTTTTGGTTCATTGCTATGGTGGCGATTCCCATCGCAGGACTCTGTACCGTGCTCATTCCGCCGTACGAAACTCGCGATTCACCGTCAACTGGATACGCAAAATGGAAGAGTCTTGATCTCGGAGGCGTGTCGATCCTGACAGGTAAGTTGTCATAAACTCGCTGGATGAGACTGTACTGAAATTGCTTTCAGTTGCGCTTATCCTCTTTATTTTCGCCGTCACATCCGGGTCAACTAGTGGCTGGGGATCCGCTATGGTGCTTGCACCTCTTATCATTGCCATTGCCATGATTATCGGCTTCTTCTGGTATGAGACCCGTATTCCACCATCGATTGCCGCAGTGTATGTCCTTGAACATATTTACGCATGTGTCGCTCGCTAAAACTTTTTTCAGTCCCCCCAGGACGTGGTTCTTGCCAAATTTCGCTGTTCTTTTCGGCGTTGCCCTGCTGCCGTATCTTTGGTGGACCACATGCTTCACGATTTTCACGACATTATGGCAAAGTGTGTACCACTGGTCAGTTATCTCGACTGCGTTACGTATGTGAGTAGGCTTCAGTGACGTTCTTGGTCCCTTCCCGCGCAGTGCTGACGTCTTATGCAGGATCCCCATGGGCGTGTTCGCATTTGCCATGAGTTTCACTGGTAGCCTTGCGCGCTTCATAAGTCCAAAATACATCTTGCTCCCTTCCCAAGTCGTCCTCATGATCGCTACTATTCTCCTTCACTTCGCCGACGGCCCGGACACGTATTACGGATTTGCCCTCCCTGCATTCATTCTGGGTACCTCTGGGTGCATGTTGACTTACACACATACTAAGTACGTACGCAATACTCAGTCAATGCCGTTTTTACTCATACGCGCTTCCTCCCTCCAGCATCGCCATTTTCCGAACTTCCCCATCATCGATGGCAGGTACCGTTGGGGCTATCTTCAACGGTGCGCTCCAGCTGGGCTCTGCAGTGGGTCTGGCCGCCGTCAGCTCTATCGAGACGAGTATAGAGAAGACTCATGGTGGTTCTGTCACCTACGCCGGACGTGCAGCAGCCTTCTGGTTTGTCTTCGCTATCATAGTGGTTGAGTTCTTCGCCATCCTCATCTTCTACCGCGTGGCCGCCGAGAAAAAGTCCGACGATGACACGCAAGTCGAATCTGAGGTTATCGTCGATAGCAAAATACCACCTTCTCGTGCTCCATCTCTCATGGAAAAGCTGCAAGAAGCTGACGCGGTGTAACACCATCTCCTTCAACTCGCACTCACTTCACAATCCTTTCATTTCACGCTTCACGATTCCCCTTTGCATCACGGACACCCATCCTGCCAATACCATTTGCATGACCGCTGTAATTCTTTTAATGTATCTCTAGACTTCGTGACATTGGTTTTAGATAGCGGGTTTCTTTGTTCTCGGATCAGTTCATAGACGGTATTTTTTTCGGTTCGTATTAGCACGTAATAGATGATGTTCACGAATTTATACTACTACTTTTCGTTCTTCTGTGACTGGTATTGACTAGACATGAATCTGACGGCGAGAATTCGTTCTACAGGACTTTCCATTTCAGGCTGTACACCAATGTGGTGACGTCGCTTCCAAGTTGCCAGGCGACGATTGATGCACTTTGGTCAGTTGACGCCGCAATCTCACGCTGCTGCGACTTGCTTTCGTCCGCAATGCTCTCTCAGTCTGTGGCGAAAGCACCAGAGCGGTGAGTCTCTTACACATAATGTTTTTTTTTCATTTGAGCTGACGTTGGCAAATAGCAAGATGTTGAAATATTGACAGAAACATACTGAAGCTTCACTATAGCTCGGTCAATAAGAACTGAGTA